CACCACGTACCTTATACATGTATGTGATCCGTGGACAAGGTTTAAAACAAACTCGGTGTATATGTGTTATAAATCCCCTAATTGGAAAAAGTACATGAGCGATTTGAATAATTCTTTCACTAAAAGAAAGCTATTAATTAGGCTTCATTCTAGATGTGGAAAACTCTACAATAACATGCAGACCTTTTTTTTAAAAATAGGGGCACCATTTGGGTTTCCTTCTGTTTTACTCACCCTGTATATAATACGGGACTTACCTTTTCCGGATGAGGAGAGTAAAAACGACTTAACTGATTTGCAGGCAGAAGTGTTGAGTATCGTTGACGTACGCGTTCGAATTGGCAGTCTGATTATCACTGGGAAAGTTGTTACTTTTATTACGCAGCACTCTCATGTCCTCTGTACACTGATCTTTATTATCAGTATAATAGAAATCAGTGCCCCTTCCACGTGACTTACTCTTCTGCGTCATATCAACGTTACTGCGCATGACGAAATATACCACGTGTCTCAGACATAGCAGATCCCAAATTGTATACCGCTAATTAAAGGCAATATACAACACTTTCAAACATCAAGAAACAAATCTACCATTATGAAATACCTGACTTAACTGTAATTAATGATATTTTCAAGCATCCTGTTAAATCATGGCACCTGCATGGTGTGCTGTCATTTTCAAGAAAAAAATTAATTTTGGTATCAATTTTTTTTAACGATGGTCGGCTGACCATCGTTGGAAAAACTTTTGTTAATACTGCCCCAAGTTTCCAAATTCAGTTAGTCCATATTTTGTTTGCAATCTGCTAATACACATGCGTGAACAGGTGCAAGCTTTCTAGTCTGGTTCCATAACCTGACAATCTATAAATTGCTCCGTTTCGTCTGAAGTAGGGTCAGGAAACCAGACTACAAGAACAGGACCATCTTTTTTCCTCGGTGTTTCCATCATTTATTGCTTTCCTTCATTTATTGCCATCCAACACTGCAGTATATTCCCTTTAAGTCGTGACCTGAATATTCATGAAACCGTCACTGACCAATAATAATGGCTTGTGGCCTGTTTCTGTATTAAATAAAGGTTCCTGTGTTTAGCAAACGCACGCACGTGGCAGCTCTTTGATCTTGGTACAGACCGTGGCCTTTCAAATACAACATATATGATCCATTCAAAATACAGGTCGATGCTGTCAATCGAAGATCGATTGATGTGCCTGAGGGATTAAGCTTCGTCACTGTGTCCTGTTTTCCCGACACAAATCATTGATCGGCTTTTCATATGACGGTTCCATAAATGGGAACAATACGTGCATTGTCTTTTGCCTTCGGCAAACTTGTCCGGAGTAAGAAAAGAAAATGGTCGCCTTGTATATTTTGGGGTTTTTTTTGGGGGGGGGGGGGTGGAGGGGGAGGACAAACAATCAGCGTGTTCTCTCTTGCCCAGTGGTGGTTACTGGAATGCTATTCATATTTCAAATGCAGCGTATGGTGACCTAATTTTTTTTTTTTTTTTTTAATAGAATTATAGGACTGTTAAGGTACTGTCCACAATACTTCAAAGAAATCAGCTCTGTCCAATTGTTCTTGCTGTCGCCAACTTCATCGTTTGGGTTTTTGATCGGAAGAGGCGCCTGCACAATTGACGTCTGAAGAAGAACAAACTGGGCCAATGAGCGCTGCAAAATGGACTCTATCCAATTCATTCATTCACAAACTGTGCGGCACCTGGGGAGTTCATATTTTGCGTTTATGCTACCAGACAACGAGGTGCACTGCGCATGTCAAATCGACGCCGGGAGGTGAAAATACCCGGGACACAAGGACAATTCGTGCCCCAATGCTGATGTGGTCACGTGACGTTGTGGTCACGTGATGCTGGGCTCACGTGATGCTAACTTTTAGCGAATTGTTATCGTCTGCCCTGTATGTATATCTCTGGAAAATACGAGTGCATATAGTTGTATTAAAAATAATAATCTGTTGGTTGCCATCTGTCGGTACTGATGTCTGTTTCTTTGTGCGTCGGGTTGTTAGGGTTGATTGTTTGTTTGTTTGTTTGTTGAGTTGTTTGTTTGTTGGGGTGTTTGTTTGTTTGTGACCTTTTTTAGATACCAGTTTCATTACTCAGAATCCGAGGATCAAGATTTCAAGCCAACGCCTCCAACACTGGCCAATCACAATCGTTCCTCTTGGCATGGTGACTGGTACCTGGAAAGAAATTTTCAAGTGTATTTCTTCTTATCGTTTTAAAATCTAAATTTTATTTTCAGATTATATTTCTTGTATTTTATGCGTTAATATGAGAATCGATCAATTTTATTTGGAAAAATATTGGGGGGGGGGGGGGGGGGAATTTGACTGGTTCGCGGCCCCCGTATAAGTTTGTGTATAAACTACACAGCACTAAAGTTCTCTACTCCATTGAGGGCGCTATTTAGGGTTGCTGCAAATAACGGCCTTCAATGGCCTAATTGCAACTCTGGACAATACCATACCAACGATTCAAATCGGATTCTAAATTCGCCACTGCCTTGAAATTTGATTAGGTTTGAAGCCTTAAACCCTATAATCAAATATTGGATTACTCGAAGAACTCGGGACGCTAATATGACTCTTTTGTCTAGTTCTCTTAATTTCTTCGGGATCTATTCTACGCGTACAGATTAAGAACAAATCACAGCATACGCTGGGTTTAAATTCCGAAATCCAATCTTAAAACCAATTTTCAAATTTTGTTGGGGGCGTTGTAATTTGTCCTTGCCCTTTGTGAGATGAACCAAAAAGAACAAGAACGGTGAACGATTGAAAGACGGGAACAATTTCAAGTCGCAGTAATAGCGACCAAATTGCTCTGTTTGACGGTCTGCGTTTGAGGCAGTGACCGCACACCAGGAATCCTTGCAACTCATGAGCTCAATTTATTATTAACCTTGTCCCAAATTTTCCAACAAAACTTGGGGATGCAAGGTCTTAAACTTTTTTTCCAGTCGGTATAAACTGTAAAGGTAAGTTTACTTGTGAAAACTTCTTACGACTAGTAGCTTTGACATCGACGAATACGACTGGGTTCAACAGAGGGCGGTATTCATTCAAGCTGCTGACGATGACTGGTCTGACCGTGTATTCATAGCAATAGTATTTTCATTCCGACGTTTCACATGATTAGAACTCACTTTGTTTCGTGTGGGTTGGGGCGCACAAATCCACCATGTGGTGGAGCTCTTCATTACAATAATGTGAATATAGATATCTTCTCTCTCTTTAAATTCTGAGTAAAATTCGTTCATTCTTAAATGCCGCACATTTTTGTCAAGCCATGCAAGTGCTTTGTTACCCAATCAACCCCGTCTCTAGTTACAGGCGTTGCTGTTGTTGTTCTAGCAGAAAGTTGTCAGTCTTACTTGCCCATGCATCAGATGCCGTAGACAGATAAAAAGATACATAGACGATCTTTCGAAGAACTATTAAACATTCCTCGCTACTTTTTTTTCGATTTGGAAGTCAGCCATTCACTTTTCGTATACTCAGTTTGATCTGCTCAGAGTCGATGGACGAGAAAACAACTCTCCACGCGCGCGCGTACGTTTGTCCACATCACGTGGCAAACGAAGCGTAGCCATTCAAGTGAAGCATCAATAAATGGGGAAGGGGAATTTTCAAGTGCAGTGCTCGTCAGCGGAACGACCGGCGCCCGCTACCGAACAACTCGCCGCGCGCACACGGCAGCCGGAACCGCTACCAGCGACATGGCCTGGGGTCTTTTCCGTGTCAAGTCCCGTCCATTCACCCAACTCCGTTACAGGGAACAAAGCTTGCTTCCCCTTTCTACGAGCCCGGCCTTGGAATAAAAGGACACCGCAGACGCAGACAACTTATATAAAGCAGAGACACCGAGCGGATTCTTCTCAAATTTACCCAGTGATTGCCGAGAATGTACACAGCCGAGATGACATTACAGTTTCTGCCAGGCATATCGCAACAAATCAAATCTGAACTTTAAGCCGAAAGTTTCGATCTTGTGGTTAATGATTACACTACCAACGACGTTGAACGTGGTTTTCTGCTCCGGTGATTTTGTTGTTATCACCGGTGACGTAAAAAAAAATACAGCCTTGCCAGCACTGGGGCGGCGCGCAGGTTCTCGACCACATGTAAACAGCAAACTGGGTAAGTACACACTTAAATCATACCCTCCAACTGACTGTAAGAGGTTGCCCCCTGTGTGTGCACGCTACGGGACCGTTTGTAATCAGAGCTGGTTATCATAAAAATGGACCAAAGTTCAGGCCACGTTATTAGATGTGTTAGCTGGACAAACTCCTTATTTGTATTTGCATAGGCAAAGCTTAATGGCCGGTACAACCATGGTACAGCACAGCACATTATCACGTCACCATTATTAAAGCATGCCTTTCCGATTAGTGTGGTCATATCATGTGGTATAATTATGCCACATTGGCCGTGGTATATTTTGACTGACAACTTTTTTCTGGTACACATTAATGGCGTCAGATAGGTGTGAAATAACACGGGTGAGGAGATATGCTATTCCCCTCTCTCCTTGACAAGACTGAGTTAATTGGTCACGGACAAGTGTCTCCCGTGATTGTCTCTGTAACACGTCTCGCAAACGATCGATTGAGAGCAGCGTGTGTTCCCTCGTCACGTACAGTGTGCCCATCAACGTACGACCATACCGCTGTGCAACCCTTAATGTAACTGCACTGACTACCTCGGACAGAGGGCAAATCCATTTTCTAACTATCTCTCGATAATTGTATAAGAACGTCAACGCACGGTGAGCTATGCCGGATGTGACATGATTGATTGAACGGCCGTATATATTTTCTTTTATCTGAAACTCCGCAGGAGGTGCCAATGATGATCCTGATGACTTCGATGATGAGTTATTCTCAGCTTGAGATCCGCAGGTATACGGTGAGATGACGGTGAAACCATCAGTTGTTGGTACTTGACCACCAAGGGCAGCTTTGATCAAGATGGTGCAGGGAGCAGCTGTCATCAACTTCCCCTGTCGCTGTTTGTTCGTCATCCTCGTCTTGGTGTTTCTCATCAGCGAGGTGGGGACGTACAGCGGTGTCCACTACACCCAGCGCGGGGACCTCAACCTCGGGGGCTTGGTGCCTCTCCACGACTACGACGAGAAGAACCAAGAGTGCGGCAAGCTTCGCAACATCGGGGCCCTGAAGCGGCAAGAAGCTATGGTCTACGCCGTCGAAGCCATCAACCGGAACACCAGCTTACTTCCCGGTGTCGTCCTGGGCTTCGAGATCTACGACACCTGCTCTTCCAACGCCGTGACGCTCCGTGACTGCTTGAATTTCATCCCGCCCCAGCGGTGGAATGGCAACTGCTCTCTCTTCAAGTCCAGCGAGCACTGCCCTGAGACCACACCGCCCATAGTCGGCGTGGTTGGGGCGCAGAGAAGCGGCTCCAGCGTCCAAGCGGCCATCCTACTCGGTCTTTACCAAATCCCACAAGTTAGCTACCTGTCCACGAGTGACGAGCTGTCCAACATCTACCGCTATCCGTACTTCCTGCGGACCGTCGGACCCGACAGCTACCAGGTAGCGGCCATAGCGGACCTGATCGTGGAGTATGGTTGGAATTACGTCTCGTTCATCAACTCCGACGACACGTACGGGAAGAGCGCGCAGCAGGCCTTCCGTACGACTGCGCAAAAGCTGGGCGTCTGCATCGCCATCACTCGCACGGTGTCCTTATACGCCACGGACGAGACATTTGACGAGCTTGTAACCGAGTTGGTAACTCTACAAACGAACAGTCATGCAGTGGTAGTTATTCTCTTTGTTCAACTCGAGATGGCCAAGGACATCTTTGCAGCGGCCACCAGAGCTGGGGCCAAGCAGAGGTTTATCTGGATCGGAAGCGATGGCTGGGGCAACTATGGGAACAGTGCGGTGGAGGGAAATATTAACGCTACAGTTGGTAAGTTTAAAGTGTGTACTTCATTCCTCATATTCATGAATCTATCATTCAAAGGATAATTACGTTGTTCTGCTGTTACAAAACATAATGACGTGATATTTAGGGGATACACGACGAAGTGATTTCCCCCTTCATCGTGATTTGACAGCTATTAGACAGCTCCTCACAATGTTCATTCGTACCCCACTCGAACATCACACTCAAACACTCTCCGAAAGTACAACGCGAAATTACCACTCTACAAACATTTCCTGTTGTTACAAGACTTAAACTGAGCTCGTGAAAATATTTCTCGCACATTCACGATTCGATATGAACACAGATGCTCTCCCAATGAGCACTCGAACACCATACTCTCAGAAATTCAAACAATATAACCTACATTTACACATCCAAGCACCGCTTCAAGAGCGCCATATATTTCAAAATATATGGTCGGTATATCTAAAGATACCATGGCTATCTGATTAATACATTTTTGATTAATTAATATATTCTTGACGAACACAGATGCACTACCAATGAGAACTCGAACACCATACGCTCAAATTTCAAACATTATAACCTAAACATGTATACCTCCAAGCACCGCTTCAAGAGCGCCGTATATTTGGAATGGTCGGTATATCTAAATATACCACGGCTATCTGATTAATATATTTTTGATTAATAGATTTTCTTCCTACATCTATTTTTAAATTGAAGGCTTATCTTTAAAGTATCACCAAATTAGATAACTGTCCAAAGATTGTAATGTGAAACGAAACAGAAAGACTGGACACGGCAGACAAGAAAGTATACCCACAGTCGTCGCTAGAAGCCAAAGAGAAGGAAAGATGATTCTAAAGTTTTGGTTTCCCCGATAACCATTCCCCCCCCCCCCATCCCGAGCCGTCTTTCACGTATTTCGCAAGCTTCACATTATTAGAAAATGTCATAATCACGAAGCGTTTGCTTTGTCGTCAGAACGGATATTTACACTCAAAATACCCAATCGACATTTATAAACAGACGTCTGCGGCGAGCTTCCTATAACCATTGGCAACATGACAGACCTAACTGGAAGCAATTTATTTTTGTCATTTCATCATTTAAGTTAACCTTTCAGACAAAAATGAAATTGCCATTTCACGCGAATAGCGTGCCTCGACTAACAATTAATGCTGTAAAATACTAAAAGGACCCCAAAATTACAAAGGATGAGACGGGATCTAACAAAAAGGCAAATACTAACACAAAGAAACCTCTTAACATAAGAATTTATTTTTTATTTAATTGGCTAACAATGACATTTTTGAGGTGAAGGATCCCAGCGGGGCGTGTTGTCGCTAATAGCTTTGAGATTGGTAAGCGGTTCCAAATTGGATTTAAAAATGTGCGAAGCAGGTGCGATTCCTTTGAGAGCGTTGGTGCGAACCGTGACACGAGGGAAATGGAGCCCCGAGGCAAGGCCCGTTATACGGTTGGAGGGGAATCGATAAATTGACCCTGTCCAGTATCCCTTCCCTTCCTCTGTTGGCGGGAGGGGGTGTAATTGAGCGAGAAACCAGCTGAATTGTGGTACAATCAGGGATGAATATACAAATCCTGTAAACAGTTTCCCGTTATATACCGAGCCGTATGCTTGCAAATAAGCAAGGGCATCTTTCTAATAGAAACGAAATAGATTTCAGAAAACCGAATGGAATTCAGACAAAGCGGTAATTTGTGCCACGCGTGATGTTCAAATCAATTTTACGGAATGGTAGTCAACGTGCGGCGACAACCATTTAGGTATTGGTACGTTCAAGGACAGATACGGATACACCTTTGTATGTATAAATGTATTGCGCCTTGCTTCCACTACCTTTGTTTTATGGTATGAACCTTGTTAGGTGCATCAGACGCCACATCGTCACTTTTTTATGTTCCCAGAATCCTTGAACCCACTTCAAGTTGTCAACACAATGCTATCAGTTTGCTTGCGAAGGTTTGACGATACGGGCAAAAAGATTAAACAAAGGGTACATCGCCTGATAGTCGTAAATCCCTTGTGTGTGAAGATGGCCGTTGGGATTCTGGACTTCAATCACGCGTTTAAAATGATGTTTGGTGTAGGTACCAGTGGTTCTTACTGGCAAAATTGTTCAGGTCATCTGCATGATAAAAACAAGAAAAGAAGGTTGACGTCATCCACACGATAACAAATAATACAGTTGACGTTATCGATAAAAAAAAGAAGACAGTTGACATCATCTGCATGTAAAAAACATAAACAAAATAAAAAGAGAATCCTCATATGTTTTTGAAGTAACCTTTTTGTGGAGACACAGTTCCTTACGGTGACAGACTTGGAAAACAATGACTTACAGGTGCAGATGAAGACTTAAACGATCTCAGAGTCCTGCTTTACGACCCCTTTCAGACCTGGGGCAGACCAACCTATGGATTGGGTATTTTGTTCGTATCTGATATTTTTTTTAAGGTTTCCTGGAAAATTTTCAAGAATTGTTTTCTCCCACCCCAAAACCTCAACATTTCTTTATCATCTACTGGCTTCCGAGCTACAGTGCATTGTGTTCTTTGAGGAACCCTTCATATCATTACCACAAGGAATTAAAATAATTAAAAATAACGTGTTCAATGGAAGTTAAAAAATAACAGTAAAAAGACAATCTCAGTCAACCTTGAGATAAGCTTCACATAGCCGTAGCTAATTTCCGGCGTCTAAAACATTACTACAAATATGGACATGACTTCTTCTCTCTTTTTTTGCACGCGCCATTCTGCGGGAACAAAGTGAGTTGCGTGTGTATTCGGGCTTTTGATTAATTGCACTTTATGAATGGACTCCTAAACCTGTGCCAATAAAGCCTACACATTAGTCAATGGCAATGTAATGACAAGCTATTTAAAATCAACAGCAAAGAAAGTACAACATGGACGGGGCAATGTCATGGAGCGGCTATAAGCACAGAAACTTGCTAAGCACGGACAACATCTGCTTAGAAAAAACAGGTTACCAGCCAAAATGTCATGTAATATATATTGATTGTGACTGGTGCTCAGCCGATTCTAGCTGATCGCATAAATTTACTTAGCAATTAATATTAAGCCATGGATCCAGACATGACAACGTATGCTGGGCCAATAGACCTTAATCATGCTGCCACCATTTCAGTCATGTTCCCTGTATCCAGTAAAAGTACTGAATGATTTTTTTGTTGTGCAAAAAGGAACCAGACTATTTTTCCTTCCAGCCTCGCTTTAGTTACGTTGATGTGAATGGGAACAAATGAAGATGGCCGCAACATGATAATGGTCTATTGGGTGGGCCCCCACTTAATCATGACTCTGGCCCCACCCACATTTTGGACCGCCAGCTATAGAGACTGGCTCCCTACTCTCAAAAAGTTTTACATTATGGTTATTGGCTTTCCGTTTTACAGTGTTTTGTGTAATGTTCCCTTTAATGTGACGAGAGTAAACATTAAAGTCTCCATGTGCTTAAATTAACGCCTGCATAAATTGTCCTCATGAAATGGCAACCGCACAGTAGAGTGTTTTATGGTGTTGATTGTACCTGCCTTGCCAAAGTACAAGCGTCGTTAGTATTTTCAAGTGGCAGATTTCTGCATAAACCGAAACACATGATGTACGCCGAGGAGAACAATATCGGAGCAATATTGAATTTCACGCAGATTTTATCAAATACACTGAAATTGTGACTACGATTGTTATTTTTGGCTTTGTTGGGATCATCCTTTAACTTATCCGTTTCCTGCAGTAGTCTGTTTCAATTATGATAATTTTAATTGGCGATGCACTTGATTTCGCACGCAAGTCAGATTTTGGAAGCTGAACATTGCTTTTATCGAACTCAAATACGAGCTTTGCTTGTTTGCTTGTCTGTTTGTTTATTTTGTTGTTCTGTTTTTAACGACGAAATGAATTATATTTCACACGGTTTGTTAACTGTCACACTCGCGTAGTGGTCCCTTAAATTCAGTGATATAGTGCCTTGATACTCGATCAGCCTTGGCCTTAAGGCCACTTAAAGGTTGGATTTTAAGGCATTGACCTTGAGGGTCAAAGCCCGGGTTCTTGGCCCTGACAGAGCCTTTGCTCCAATACCGCTCGAATTTACACAGCTAGCTGGGTTTAAAATAGAGTCTACAGTTGCACGCATTACTTCAAACGACTTCTTATTACAAAAGTACAACAGCGCAGCACACAATGACAGTCTTATCTTGACTGCATAGCCTCACTCTGCTATCAATACAGGGTGAGTCAAGAAGAAAGTGACCAGGATTAGAGATTGTATTCTCTTAAAAAGCAATCAAATTGATACACAAATGAAACATGTCTTAAAAGACCATGTTACTGAAATTGACCCATGCCATCAGAATTTATGCATGTTTTACTAAAAGAACTCATTTTTATAGCTGTCCATGGAATGCCATTGGAAGCCATTGAGCTCAGCTGAGTGAGAATTACAGATTACAACAAGAATTCAATTACAAATGATATTTCAATAATTGAAATCAAGACTGAAACATTATTTTTACCGTCAAATTTTGTGTTTTAAGTATGAGGAACAAGTCAACTCTTTTTTCAAATAATGACGGCGATTTTTTTTGTATGTTTTCCCTTGCAAGTTCTCGTTCATTCATCGAAGTGGGAAAACGTCCATGTTTAATTGTATTTAATGGGTATTCATCAGTTCGTAGAACGGTAAATCCGAAATATTCACAAGGGAGGAGGAAGCCGAAAGCAGATAGCTTTCGTTCACCGCACACAGTAAGACTTTGGGCACGAGTGACTAGAAATATCAAACACGTTAGATATTTTGGCGCAGCGTCACGAATGACCAAAATCTTTGGTAAAACTGACCGCACACGGGAGCTATAGCTGCTTACGCCATCGGCCACGAGTGACTTTTGGTGAAGCAGATAGCTCTCGTGTGCGCCAGGCTTTAGTACAGGCTGCCACAAGGGTAGATATTTAAGCCATGGTTGGCTACAGATTTTTTCACTGCGTAAGAAAAATGCAATTTCATGAACTCTTTGGTAGCATTTGTTGGTTATTTGGTATTTTCAATAATCCAATGATAACTTTGGAAACATTATTAACTATTATTTTTTTAGACGTGGCCTTTCCATTGTTTGACAACCTGTGATTGCCATAGGGATGCGTGTGAATTGTTTTCGTTTTGCAGAAACAACACTTGCCTTTTTTTGTGATCCGTGGACAGAACTTTAAAACGGTGTTTGTGTTCAAAATTCCGTAACTTGAAAAGTACATGATTGATTTGAATGATTCTTGTACTAAAAGAAAGCTCATTGGTTGGGTTTCATATCCTAGATTTTGAAAGTGCTACAGGCAAAACTTCATTAAAGAATTGGTCCTGCCATTTGGGTTTCGGGTTTTTTTTTACTCACCATCTACTGCAAAACTACTGCACAATTAACCTTGACGTTGTGGCCTGTGATTATTAGCTACCTCAGGTGTACGTGTTCAAGGGAAATGTGTACAAAGGCAATTAACTAATGAGATGGGTTGCACCATAGCTCATGCCAAGCAAGGCCAACGCTTTAATTTGCAGACATTAGAATAATATTTCGCGATAAAAATATTGCAGGCTAACTTCATTGTTTGAATTTCCGTCGCAGTGTGTGGAGCGCCTTGTTCGCTTCGTGGTCTGGAGTGAACTCGTAGACTGCGGGTAATTTTCTGCAGGTTGTGGGTTCGAGTCCAGCCTGGGGTTATGGTGCGTGTAATTAGGCAAGGCACTTTGTTACGCATTGCCTCTCCCCACCCAGGGGTAAATATGTATACCTGTGAGGGCAGAGATGGCTATT